TTCTTCTGCCGCGATTTAATCCGTTTTCGTTCCACATGTGCAGTATAATATACGGTATCTGATTACCCTTTGATATCTACAATCGACCCTCCCACATCCGCCCCTTCTCTCTCTCTCTCTCTCTCTCTCTCTCTCTCTCTCTCTCTCTCTCTCTCTCTCTCTCTCTCTCTCACTCTCTCTCTCTCTCACACACACGCGCGCGCACGCACACACACACACACACACACACACACACACACACACACACACACACACACACACACACACACACACACACACACACACACACACACACACACACTGATGTGCGGGTGGGGTGATAATTAATATTCTTTGGGATTATCTCTGCTGTTTGCTGGAAAGTGCAGCCACTCGTCCCATGAGACTGCAGCAGACTGACGGTAAATAAAGTCAAAGGTTTACCCTGGATTAATAACAGATTTCTGAACAAGAGTTTTATTTAAAGAATTCCTATCGAAACTATTAACAGAGAAATTTATTCTCAAACGTTTCATACAATTTTGCATCCTGCACAAAATCCAACTTCCGCCTCCGTGTCAATGTGAGTATAAACAATGAATTTTCTGGGCGCATGGTAAAATAACTTTTGAATCGGAGAGTGAAAACTGCAGTAATCTAGATCTATAGGTAATTGAATTAGTTGGGGGGGGGGGGGGGTGTAAGTGTTTTATGGCGCTCGCAACTGTCTAAGGTCATTTATGAGCGTGCGGAACTCAATAAACATTTTCAGTTGGCAGAAAAATTAGAATTTTGCCCGGGTGGCGGCGGGATCTATAACGTGCGCAACTTGCACTCAGGACCTGCGATATTTTTTGCCCTTGTCCGAGAAGGCTACGTGTAGATCTTTCCTACCAAAGATCAAGGGTGTGGTAAAAAGGAAGCAGTAAAAAGGAACCAGGGAGTAGCAGTAGATAGGCTGCAGAAAGAGTCCGGAGCACAGAGGAGGGGGCAAAGGGGGTGAGGAAGTGAGGGCAGAAAGTAGAAGCGAAAGCACACAACAGAACATTCTTAGAGAGCAGGAAACAAGGTGAACGGATCCAATTTTTAGAGAAGAAAAATTTCCGTCGCTATCTGGATTTAAACATGGGACCTATTGAATGAGAGGCGACCTTAACCTCTAGGCACTCAATGTGGGATGAACACGGGTTGGACGAAAATAGATACGACAAAATTCAAAAGTAAGAAATGTGGGGCGAAAACGGGTTCTCTGTTTCTTGCTGCACGGTGCTGCAATTACGTCACGGGTGAACAGGATGATGAAACTGGGGGATCAAGCAACTGAAAAAAAATTAATAAATCGAAAGAAAGGCAGACAGAAAGGAAGAAAGAAAAAAAGAAAGAAAGAAAAAAAGAAAGAAAGAAAGAAAAAAAGAAAGAAAGAAAAAAGAAAGGACGACCATTAGACAATTATCAAGTTCAGTTAGCAAAGATTGGATTTTACAATGTTACTCTGAACACAAATTGTGCAAGCCTTTATGTAGAGTGTTTTATGATGGTGCTTTTTTGACGATTACGGTAATTTATTTACTTTGACCTTGGTGAATATTATTTTGGGTCTTTGTGGATTGAAAAAGAGAACGGATATGAAAAGATAAGGAACGTATTCAGGTACCGTACTAGTCTTGTTTTTCTCGAGACGTGAAAGTAAGCATTTCCAATAGAAAACCAGTGGTTCTAAACAGAGATCAAGTTTGATCAGTAATGCTTTTAATGGCAATTAGACCCATTTTTATCGATTTGCTATGTTACTGCTATCTGTGAGCAAACATTGTTCGAAAGCGTTGATATGAAGTGGTGCAGAACACAGGCCAGCTAGATTCTAGACAACTATCATCTGCTGTGTTAGTGCTGTTCGTAGCAACAAACTGTCGCTTACGTTTCCAACACTGCTGCCAACTACTGTGATTGTTACCAACCTAATTAAATTAATCTCTAAATTGTTTTGATTTGCTTCAGAAAATGGAAGAAGGGGGGGGGGGCAGACCACCGTTTTAGCTGGTGCTCTACTTTTTTCCAGTCTTCTAGCCACCTCTCCGTTTGTGGGTGGTTGGTGGGTATTTTGGTGTTGTTTGTTCCTTCTTTCTTATCAAATATATCACCCTTATCTCTCCTTCTTTTTTGTGTTTGTTATTCTCTTGTAACCCCTCTAATCTTAGGCACTTATACTGCCGTATTGTGTTGCAAATGCCGTAAAACTTTTACTAAAACAAACAAAACAAACCTCGTTGTTTATAAAGAATTCAAATATATATGCATACTCATTGCCACTAAGATCAGAATTCCCAGTTTTATTTTTTGTTTGAGCAAATACTCCTAGATTCTGAAGGCGATTCATTATTGTTAAAGAAAAGATTCCAGCCATTATGCGGGCAGCATTTGGACCAAACTACTCATCCAACTAGTGTTGAACATGTTGGTACAATATATTGTTATTGTATATATTTTGTTTGGGGGGGGGGTTGTTTTTTGGGGTTGTTATTTTTGTGTGGGAGTGTTGTTCTTGTTTGTTTGGGAGGGGGGAGGGGGTTCTTCCTCTTCCAACTCTTTCAAAGCGTAATATTCCCGACAGACACTCTTGAAGCAGTTACATATCGCCCTGTGTCTTGTGGCCAGTTGAGCAGAGATGGCTTTTGGCTAGGTTAATTTTTTTTAAATCCTATCCTACGCCCTAGGGTCATTTTGTACCGCTCAAGTTGTATTCTTCACATTTTACAATACGTCTTGGGCGAAGATCAATTTGAAACTTTCACTATTTCTCAAAAAATCGTTTTGACAGACTGCTAGGCAAGCGTACGGATCGGATTAACGAGTAAATTTCCTGTTTGGAAAATGGGGCCACAAAGTTCCCCCCTTATATGGATACGATAGTAAAACACGACGTACGGATAGGGTTAATTACCATAGTATACAATACCCCAAATTGTCACGAAGCTAAATCCTCAAATAGTTGGTCGTATGTCTAATCCAAGATTGCTATTAATATGAGCTAATTCTGTTTGTTTTTCGTGGTGAGGTTTTTGGTTTATTGTTTTTTTATGGCGGGGATGGGTGGGATGGGGTAGTTGTTTTTCATTCCCTAATTTACCATTACCCAAATCCTCAATTTTTTAAAAATCTGATGTCTAATTTAAAAACAAGCCATGTAAGAAAGTTATTATATGTGTTTTGTTGGTTGGAGCAAACAGTCTTTGAGAGTTGAGGATTTCTGTAAGGCGGAAGTTATGATAAATATAAAAGAAAATAGAATATACCACGCGAAACAGTTGTTGTTGGTGGGGGGTTTTTGTAATGCTGATTAGTTATTAGTTGTGCCCAGCCATGCTGGCAGTTTTGTCTGCACGGTGCTTCAACTTCAATACGTACACGTCACGTTCAGGTTTTTCCCGATGACCCCCTCTTTCCACGTCATAATCTATCACCCTGGACATGGTTATCTGTTGAGCCAAGTGCTGAGCTTCCACGAGTGGAGGAACTAGTGGCGAGTAACTTACGTCACCCGGGTCTTTCTCCAACTGCCTACTTTTTGACTTTGTTATTTTAGCGGACGTTTTCAAGAACACATGGACATGAAAAAGAGCTCAAGGTCGCTTCCAACTACGATCCAAATATGTCTAGCTGCAAAAGAGACCCTCGACGTTTTGCTACGTTAGAATTACAAAGTTCTATCTGACATTTTTGGGGGGCCGTTTTGGGTTACTAAGACCATGAGGCCAGAAACAAAATGTTCTATCTGCTCTATCAAAATCGTAAGATTATTCGGAGTCGTTATCAAGATATTCAAAGTTAAAAAAACTGCTTTAAAAAAAAAACTTAGACTAATTCTGAAACTCAAAATATTTTTACGTCGAATTTCCCGAAACTTGATACTGAGCAGACAGAACTTTGTAATTCTCAGGTAATGATTGATGTAGACAGTTTGGATATCCTGCAGACAGACGCGTTGCCGTAGCTTAAGCGAAGGAGAACAAAGCAATAAATTAATGGCTTCTGACGAACGCAGGGCAAGATATAGCAATAGCCACCAGAGGCCCCTTGCAACCACAATGTAGGCTACAAATTTTAAGGTGGCCGCTGTGACATAGACTGTCACTCTGAAACTGGTTTACATATTCACAAAAGACGCAGCTCTAGCAGTAACTAAGGAAGCTCTCGTGGTCGAGAGGTTATGGTGTTCGCTTCTCATTCAATAGGTCTCGGGTTCGAATCCTAACAGTGACGGAAAATAAATTTTCTTTTCAAAAAAGAATTTGTCCTTGCACCTCCTTTCTTGTTCTCTAATTATGTTCTGTCGTCTGCTTTCGTCTCCTCCTTCTGCCCTCACTCCTTTACCTCCTTTGCACACTCCTCTGGGCTCCTGACTCTTTCTGCTGCCTTCCGACTGCTACTCCTTGGCTCTTTCAAATTGTTTTCTTTCAGCCACATCCCTGATCATAGGGTGGGTAAGATCTCGGATAAGGGCAAAAAAATCTCAGAGGTCCCATGTGTAAGTTGCGCACGTTTAAAGATCCCTTGATGGTTCTAAAATCGATAAGAATAGGCTTCGGCCGCCACACAGGCAAAATTCAAATTAAATTCCTACCAAACTGAAAATGCGTATCAATGTGTCCCGCGCGCTCACATAACCTTATACAGGGACTTGACGAGTGCCGAAAAACGATTTCCAAAAAAATTGATTTTTTAAAAACATTCACAAAAGATGCTGCGCTTACACTTACAGTCTAAATATAGAAACGAAACTACCGCTGCCAAGCGAATATTCATGGCCACCTGTGACCGACGAATGCCGACGACATACACGTACTTTGTCCATGCGCTACTCCGCTGTTCCACAAAATAACATTACTTGCATGCTTCCACCTCCCACCCACCCATCCACACCTCTTCCTTCTCTCTCTCTCTCTCTCTCTCTCTCTCTCTCTCTCTCTCTCTCTCTCTCTCCACTCCTCGTGCTAATTTGTCCCCATTTTTTCTATTCTCAGCTCATTAAGCAGGACTTCTAGAAAAAAATGCCGACCAAGGTGGCAGTGATAGGTGCCGGAGCTGCAGGTATTTGTGTGCTGCGCCATGCCCTAGCTTCAGAGGGTGTTTTTGAGGCAACGGCGTTTGAAAAGAGCAACAAACTTGGGGGAACCTGGGTATATACGGACAAGACAGAAACCGATGAAAATGGCTTGTCCATACACTCCAGCATGTACAAAAACCTACGGTAAGGAGTTGAATTGTTTGGTTTAGTTTTTTTACAGAAAAAAACAGCAACAACAACAACAACAACAACAACAACAACAACAACAACAACAACAACAACAACAACAACAAAGACAGAGTCAACCGAAATATAAGGTCTTAATACATTGTGCGCACTATTGCAATCTCCCAGTGGTTGATAAAGATTTTTTTTTTTAATATAGGGTTTTTTACGTCCCCATCGACACAATTTAGATAATATCGGAGGCGAGACTCCGACTTTGTCTATCAGGGCTAACCTGGGCTGAGAGGGATACATTACTACTCCATTACAAAGAGATAATAAGTTTTTTTTAATGGTCTTCCAGCTTTGGCATTGCACCTGGGTCTCCTCAGTGCGACGGTTTAAGAAAAGCAGAAACTTTTCTGATTCTCAGGTTTCGGCAGGTTACAAAAATTTTCCAAAACTTTCAAAATATCTTTACAGTACGAGTATTTTTAGAAGATTTGAGGTTTTTAAAAGCAGCATCATAAGAACGACAAAACTGAGGAAACAACATCGTCAAAATTTCAAGACCTTTCTTATGAGGTAAAAAGCAATAATTACAATGATGTACTCAACACATTTCAAGACATTATTTTGAGAAAACATTTTCATTTTTTCATTTTTTTTAAAGGGGGTGAGAGGGTATCAAACGTTGGTTTGCAAGGTTTACTCAATGTTTTACTCGTGACTCATGATTGATTATAGTATCGTTTATACCTTGCACACATTTCCACTTTGATTCATTTGATTCAGTTGGGGCTAGCCAGACTTTCCTTCATGAAAGGGCAAATACTACCATTCTAAAAAAAAAAATTTAATTCGACTGTGACTTTCGAAATCAAAGACGTTTGTTTTTCAAGGCTGCGAGTCTAACTGGTAGTATTGTACCAAAATGGTAGCTTTTGCCCCTCCGTGAAGGAAAATGAGGCTAGCCCCAGTCGAGCAACTTAGACTTTATGATATTTTATTATTCATTTTATCAAACAGTTGTGTGGTCTTGTTCTGGCGTCTGTAGTGTAGCAGTTAGAATCTTCACTGTTGCAGGCAGAAGATATGAGTTCCATTCCTGGGTAGATAAGTGTTTCTTTTTAGCTATTGATCACGTGTCTCCATCTCTCTGCTCGGATTTTGTTCGTATCCCACTCAGCCCGAGTGGTTTGTGACAATGACAGTGACAATGACAATCTTTATTCATCTCGCAGGGAGAAATTTGTCTTGGTCCTTAACAAATTAGATCAAAGCAGCCCGCCTCCTACAAAATCCAAATAGTATTGGTGATGACGTAAAACATGTATAATTAATCAACTCTTAATCTGTTTTATACTTTTTGTGTGTCCAGGACAAACATTCCGAAGGAAGTTATGAACTTTCCAGGCTTCCCTTTCAAAACCGATTTGCCCTCATTTTTAAGTCATGAAAACGTGGCCGAGTACCTGGAGGACTACGTAGACCATTATGGATTGCGCGATCATATCCAGGTAGGTTCTCTATCTATCTATCTATCTATCTATCTATCTATCTATCCATCTATCTATCTATCTATCTATCTATCTATCTATCTATCTATCTATCTATCTATCCATCTATCAATCTATATATCTATATATCTATCTATCTATCAGTCATTCGATCTATCTATCTATCTATCGATCTCTTGTATCGATCGATCTATCTGTCTGTCTATCTATCTACTATCTATCTATCTATCGTTTCAATCAGTTTTCCGCCTCAAGCTAGTTCTTGCACGTTCTGTACAGTAGAGTTAGAAATTGAATGGATTTTATGTCCTTTTCCATACTGAAAGGTGACTTGAAATGTGATACCTTCGAAATTAACGTCCATCTCCGGTAGGTCCGGGATAAGTAGGTTGAGAGCTATGAAAACTCTCCAAGCGATCCAAGCTCAAGCAGGTCCAGTTGAGGATTCGTTACAAGATCCTCAGCATCGTGGCCCTGAATTATGCTAAATTATGCCTGGTGAAAAGAATTTTTGGACATCTCACAAGTATGGCGCCTAACCAGCTTGCCAATAAAGCCTACTACAGGAAAGTGTCAGGGTACTAAGCAAGAGGAAGACGAAGAAAACCTGATTCCAGGATGTGAAGGATACCCTGAGAATATTCAATATCCCACCCAGCCAGGCCATCAAACTTGCTAGAGACAGGAAACTCTTTCTCCCCTCGACGCCCTGGAGACTAGAGGTACAAGAGGACGGATAAAGTAAAGTAAAAACAGAATTTTGAGAATGTACGCAATCTTGGAATGCTGTTTCTAACCGTGCCCAACGCATTCCTGTTGACCAGTGCCGTCGAGTGACTACAAACTATGTCTTTCTCGTATAAGAACGATTGTCACAATTAAACACGTAACTTAAGGGGTAACTACTAAAAGTTCCATTGTGTTTCTTACTTCAAATGGTGATTTTATTTAATGCGCATAAATTAGCTACATGCATATGCGTGCAAGTTTTTTGTGACTACATTGTCATTTTCATGGGTTTCTGTTTCATTGATGATTCTTTGGCAAACATGATTTTTGGAATATTATCTGGTACACTATTAATCAGAAACAGACTTTGCACATAATTTTATAGCTCAAATGTTGTTGACTGCCTTTTTAAGTTTCAGATAAAGAAAACCGAACTGAAAAATATGTGCGAATAACGAAGTCATTATGCTTCTTTTTTTATGCCCCTGCACAGTATGCATCTTCACACGTTGTCGAATAACTGGAATGCGCATCTTCAATGAGCTATAAACAGTCATCAGACAAGAGAACGTAGCAGTCCCATTGTGTCACGAAGACAAAGCCTTGGTAGAACGCTAATGAGTCTAGCTGACACAACTATCTCTCAGCATGTATAGTCTCTTTATGTTAAAATACCCCCCCCC